ATATATATATATATATATAAACAGTTAAGTAGTTTTACTTTCTGGAAATATAAAATAAAATACTGTTTTCTCATAGTGGAATAAAACATTGACTGATTTATACTGTTTTTCAGACATGATGAGAATGACTGGTGATGTTTCAATGTAATTTATTTTGTACAATTGACAGTACATATTGTCTCTCACACAGTGACTGGTTGACACATGCTCCACTGAGCCATGTCACAGAAAGGGGAAGCAGCAAGAAAATGGATGGATTTAATTAAGCTATCACTGCAATAATAAGCTTGTTTATTAGGGATGTGCCCATATGAAAATTTCAGCTGATATCGATATCCGATATAATTATTGGTGTTATGGCCGATAACCAATATTGCAGAAACACACAAATTACATTGTACATATACGCACAAACACACTTTGGTCTTTTTTTATACTGTAAATAAACAACCAGACCTCTGACATGGCTCCCTACTTCAGCTATTCCTGGCTACGAGCGTCAGTATCACTATCATGATCAAACAGATGCTGCTCAACCAACCCCTCCCCTCCCAAAAAAGAAACACAAAGATAAAAAGTAGGAAATCAATATTGGACGTTAAAGTGCCTGTGACATGCCTGTCCATCAAAAACAAAAAGTCAAAGAAAACACATTTTTATATAAGAAACCTTGCGTAAAACGTGATTTTACCCATTTTGTCACATAAATAGGATATTTTTTTTAACTTGGCTCGGCCAAAGTGCAACAGGAAGTGACATGAAAGGGGAACTCTTTAAGAAACAGAACTCAATAGTCTTTGTTTATTGAAACAATATTATTTGAACTCTGACTAATCTTCATCTATCTCTGATAGAGACTCAAAATAATCTGAAGAAACATCAGATTCTTCTCTACAGTCTGTATTTAGCTATTTTATCAATGCTTTGTTCCATGCAGGCATTCCTCTCTGACATCACTTCCTGTTCCTTCACATGCAAATATCTCAACAACTGTTCATCTCAGCAGCGGGAAATTATTTTTGCAATATGCTAATAATATTAAATTTCCAATAATGCCTTTATATTTATTTTAAAACTTTCACGTCAGAGGCACTTAAATATCGGCCCAGTTTTACATATAAGACAAATACCAATATTCTAAAAAATTACCAGTATCGGCTTGAAGAAATTTATTGGGGTTGGTTTATATACTGATCTTATTTACACTACACGTGGTATTATTATTATTATTATTATTATTATTATTACTATTACTATTATTATTATTATTAGGGAAACTAATATCTGTTAAATGTGATTATGMTGCTRAAATTGATGATTTTATGTAGATACATGCCTGAACACTGATTCAACACATAACTGAACCGTTAATCTTCATTAGGTTAGAATATAATGTGTCTGGAGACATGATTTCAGTTGGGTTTAGGGACTCCCCTCCTGGTGACGTAATAAAATAGGTGTAGTCATGTCCCTGGTGCCCATGTTAAATGGTACTGACGTCCTGTGAATGGGGCAGAACGCAGACAGAATAAAATGTCTTCAGCCAGAGCGTTCTTTGTGTGGTTGGTTGTATGCTACTCTTTTCTATTCAATTTCCATGTATTGGCACATTTCCGGTGTGGTTCAAGCACATAAAATGGTAAACTAATATGCTTAACAATGTTTTCTTTCAGGCCCATACCGATATTAGTGGAGATATATCGTGAATCCCTATAGATTATTATAAATAATAAACATAACAGTCATAGGGGTTTTCTCATGTTATGCTTTTTATACTACATAAGTGATTTATTGTTGATATTCTCATATTACTTTAGACCTAATTAGCTTGTTGATTACATTTCCCCAAAAGTAATTACTTAACACAGTCATTCATATAAAAAAATAGGAAAATAATAGACAATTTAAAAGATAGAAGGATTATAAATAAATTAATAGAATACAGATGGATTACAAATGTACTGATGTACAAACCATTACATGCAGCGAGCAGTAAACCAATTTATTTACTTTGTGGTAATAAAACCAAGCAGCTTCTCAAAGACACACAACTTTTAAAACCACTTAACAAGAACTGACTTCCATGGAAAGAGGTTACGTCAAACGTCTGATCCCCTTCCTGTTTACAAGCAAAAACAACAGTCTATAAACATGATGCCATTTTTAGAGGATTGCATCTTCCACGCAAAAAACAAAACAAAACAAAACTGAACCTTAAGGGTTTGATGACGTTTCCATGTACGCTTTGTGATTAAAAAAAATAATGGAATGCTGTGACTCTACACACAGATCCAGGCTAAGGCCAAAATGCAAACATGATGGGTTCAACAAGTATGTTTTTTTTAGGAAAGTCAGAACAAAATCAACCACAAACTGATTTATTCTCGAACCATCATCAGACATATTTTAACAAGGAAATAGCTGCTACAGTCGGAATCTGCAGATAAGGAACAGAAGAAAAAAAGTCATGAAACATCAGGCAAGTCACAACTTGTTTGATGATCACACCTGGTGAACAGCCTGGAAAAAAGGTGCTTAGTTTCTTTCTAACTCATGCTCAAATGCTCAAGAACTAAAAATAAGATGGAGACACAGCTTTTCTTCTTGTGTTGGACATGTTTCTGGTGTTTGACCCGAGTGAATTTAATCACTTTTTAAATTTGGTGGAGCTCTGATATATGACGGCAAAATGAGTACGGTAAATGTCTGAATGGTTGAAAAATGCTCCTCTGCCAACATTCATATGTTTTGTGCTCCTTCCAAGCCCTCACTCCTGCACAAATACTCTAATTCTCTTGCAAACATGCCTCTCTCATTACCAGATGTTTCCAAATAGATCATATTACATTTTCTCTGTGCTTATTTCCTATACCATCTGTTTTTGTCCAACTTTATTGCTTATATTTTACAAAAAGAATAGGTGACTGGAGTTTACATTGCTCTATGGAGAAAATTCAGTCATATTGATTGTCTTATTTGAAAGTTACAGTAATGTTAAAGGAGTCTTCTGAGACTGTGGACAGCCATGGACGGATGTTTTGGGAGTGGGACAAAGGAGCGGACAGTGGGTAAGAGTTGAGCTGTTCTACTGCCAAATAAAATAAGTCACAAACAATGTACAGGCCAACAAAACACACGCAAGTTCTCTGTGACTTTAATAAGAAAACGAAAAGCTTAGAAAGAAAGAGAGAAAGAAAGAAAGAAAGAAAGAAAGAAAGAAAGAAAGAAAGAAACAAACAAACAAAAGAAACAAACAAAGAAAGAAACAAAGAAACAAAGAAAAACAAGAACAATCTCCAAGGTTTTAAAACTTGCAACAACTTAAAGGAGACATACAGTATCATGCTAAATGCACTTTTTTTGCATTTATAAACTATTTTTTGTGCAATTATAGTGTCTAGGAGTGTAGAAAACTTTAATTTATTCTGCCCAGTTACTGCAAAGATATTTTTATATTTTTTATGGGTCAGATTTTTCAGTTTGTTCAAAATCTGCTGTTGCTTATTTCGTTTCATTATTTTCTTTGGAACTACCATTTATGGTAATGTATTTCCGGCCAACTGGATTTCATAGTCCGCTATTTTTTTCCTCGCTGTGTGATTTTTGTAGTTCATAGTGTCATGCCAAATATACAAGTCCAGAAGTCAAAATGTTCGGTTCTGGGGTGTGTGAACTCATTCTACATAGACTACCAGCGTCAGAGCTTCTTCAAAGTGCCTGGTTAAGTTTTATTTTTCAAGGAAATGGACCCACAACAGGGCGGAAAGTGCTTGTGGACAACACAGGATGAATGTTACAACAACAAGTGTGAGTTATGAACTGTAAATGTGTTTTAACTGTCTAATTTAGCTGTTTCTACCCTCTGTGTCGGAATATAAAGGGGAGAAAGAACAGCTGTTTCTTTTCGGAACGGGTGCTCAGCACCATGTTTTACTTTCACTTTCGCCCCGCAATGTAATCAGCGTGTCTGTGTTGTTTTTCTTTTTAAAGACCTCGTTTCGATGTGATGAGTCACATTTCATTCTATAAAAAAATTCAGGATTTTTTACTGTGTTCTGTGTACTTTCAAACGTCTATTTTTGTCATAGAAACATTTCACTGCAAGTTGAACTTTGTGTATGTGATAAATGTATTTGATTTGATTGCTCTCATTTTTATCTTCTGTTGCTAACATATTTTATGAAGGCAATGCATTCCARATACAGAAAAAGCTATTGAATGTATACAATTTTGCATTTTAGGTAAAATGATTTTCATCAAAACCATGAATGTAATTTGACACTTTTTTATTGTTTATCAAGGAGTAATAAATTACATAAATTCTTACATTTAATGTTGTCAATACATCATCACGTCACTTTCCAATTAGTGTTTTCTGGAGAAGGAAAAGTGGCTGAATTTGTGCTTTGCTAACACCATCTCTGAAGTCTTTGTGTGAAAGATGATGAGGTGTGTTTGGGAGTACTTCTGTCATTAAAGCCCTGGAGTTAGAGTTGAAATGGTGCTCTGCCTTGTGGCGTTTGAAATTTATCTGGCTTAGACGTTTGGGTTCCAGGTTCTTTGCTGTCCCACAGACCTGTGACATACAATATTAGTTACAGTTTAACAGTAGAATGTGACTGATCATTTAATTATGATTTAAGTTCTGATTTGACATATGGAAATCAATAGGCTAATTGGTGATGAAAAATAAAAATTACATTTTATTTGCTTTTTGTACATTTCAAACTAACAGTCAAGCACAAAAATCTATTTATTTAAAATAATTTCATAACTGTACAGTGAGTGTGAGTATACTGTAGTTGTTCAATTAAAAATACTTTATTGATCACAAAAGTAAATTATATAATATAATAGTAGTTAAATAGTAGTTCAAATGCATGTATTTTAGTTTAGCTATGCTCCCCAGTGTAGGTAAGGAAATAGAGTGTGTAATTAAATAACGCACCATTGTGACACATTAGTTTGAAGACGTGGTTCTGCAGGTTTGTCATTCTGAGTGTCTTGCACTGGGTCAGACTCTGTCTTGTACATGTAAGGCTGGATTGACAAGTCTACTGTTGTTGACATCCTTATACTTTTCTGCCATCTGCCATCACTAATATGCACCTTCATGTACTTTATGGTGTATATATGTATATAAATAAGCATATGTGTTTATGTATATGTGTATATGTGCATGGGTACATTACTACATCACATGTGTATATTGTGGGGTTTTATTTGTTATCTTTTATTAATCTTTCATTATTTTTCTCAGCCTCTCTTGTATTAAGCTGCAGTAATGTGCAAATTTCCAGACTGTGGGATCAATAAAGTTTTATCTTATCTTATTTTATCTTAAAAACAGTTTTTAGTCGGTAGATAACTGTGTTTTTGCTATGAAACTACAAACATGGCAGAACGGGGTGGAGTCAAACGCTCAGCGACCTGGAGGGGGCGGGGTGTAAAATATCTCCCTTGTATTTAAAGAGACCGCACCAAAACAACTTGCTCTGAGGGGCAACTCAGAACAGGGGTAAAGCGAGGAAAGCAAGGAGTCTGTGGAGCAACAAAAACGAGGAATTAAGACCAAAGCATTGCAGTTTTATTTTAAATAGACCATAAGTGAATAATTTAGACGTGAAAAAGAAGGATTTAAAAGCATGAAATGACACCTTTAACCATGAAGCTGAGAGTCTACAAATCAAACCACAATTATCACTAAACATGTGGTTAATTTCCAGCAGAAACAAGGGAAGGTGTTAGTACTGTGGATACAGATGAGTGTGGACAGTAGAGGTAAAGAAAGAGGAGAGGTGTAAAGAAATCTCCAGTTCAGAATGAGCAGGAAAAACCAACTGGGAAGCACAAAGGTGTGGCAACAGGAAAACTGATCCTCTGATGTTTACAGTTCACTGGGTTAAAGACAGAGACTGGAGATTAAGTCTGGATTAAACAAAAAGTGAGGAAATCTTTGGAAATTTTCTGAAAAAGAAAAAAGGTGGGAAAGGCAGAGGAGTAGACTAATTAAGGTATAATTTCTGTTAAAGTATGTAGTGTCCATTATTTAACCAATAGACTCATTGAGATTTAAAACCTCTTTTCCAAGAGTGACCTGGCCAAGACAGCAGCAAAAAATAAATAAATAAAATAAAATAAGCAATAAAAAATAAAACACAAAAACAACAAATCCAAATTTCAAAACACAAAGATGTCTGACAGGTGTGCAAACACAACACTGTTATTGCTCTGAAACTGATGCCTGTTGTAAGCCTAACTATTCAGAACAAAAGACCCAAAGAGAGAGAGAGAGAGAG